CATAGACGACATTCCACAGCAACAGATAATGACCATGTCGAGAGAGTTCGTGCGGTGATCAGTGGAATGTGTTGTTTAACTGTTCGAGAAGTTGCTGACGAAGTGGACATTAGAGTAGGATCATGCCATCAAATTCTAGCGCGTTCAAGGGATGCTATGTGCAAGAAGAGGCGTAAACTGTGGGAAAACCAGATTTGGATGTCGCATCTTGACATGGCGCCGGCTCAAGTATTTCTCTTTGTTCGCAGCTATCTGGCAAAACATCACACACCCGTGGTGTTCTATCCACCGTATTCTCGGGATCTAGCCCCTGCGGACTTTCCCTGTTTCCCACACTTAAAACCACATTGAAAGTACGTCGTTTCCAAACAACAGAGATTCAGGATAATGCGACAAGAGACCTGCGCGTCATCTCTGAAAGTGCATTCCAGGAGGCTTTCAAAAAATGGAAGCAAGTTGGGAACGGTGTATGCAGCAGAGGGGACAATTTTGAGGATGGAAGTGCTTAAAATGCTGTGCAATTAGTAATAAAGATTTCATAGTAAAAGTCCGATTTCTTTTCGTAGACTCTTCATAGAATTTGAGGGAAAGCAAAAACACGCAAAATTGACACAGAATATGCAGAGTAACAAAATGGAACGGATCAAATAAAGAGAAACGACTTTTATCCAGATTAAAAAGCCCTAGATTAAGTATAAGTAGGTTTAGCCAAACCGCGGTGAAGAGGTATCATGAATGCAACATCAACCTTAGCATGAGGCACAAGTTGGTCATACATCGTTGGGGGCACCCGGTACCGGATTTGTCTGACACCGTGGCCTCCATAGGACAGCCACAGTACGTCAGCACTTACAAAGGAACCATCAGTGGCTTGCACCGAACCACTCACAGCTCCATCCAGACACCCTATTACCCAGCGTAAACCCGAAGAAATAAGACCGATACGTATTATATATATATATATATATATATATAGCATAAAAAGGAGAATGAATTGTCGTAAACATCCAGTAAGTTTGCACAGGTGAGGGGCTATATACCAGAACATAGCTCCATTGATTCGAGCATTGATTGACTTGCACTCACGAGTCTTATTGCACCATAAACGCAGGAAGTCAGGGCATCGGTCTCAGTGAACCCACACACTGGTGCTACTGCCTGTGATATTTCAGATCGAAGGTAACAGCAACACACCAGTAATACGTACCGATGTTTCCGTGTCACATAAGCTCAAGCGGAATTGTTCATGGGTTGGGATACTACTGTGGGAGAAGGGACTTGAACACGGGGAGTAAAGATTACGAGCAAGACTCATGAGGCAGTCACATGGTGGGTTGCGCAGACCTCGGATTGGTAAACGTGACGGATTAACCGCGTTTAATCTAATAGACAACAAATTTAGTTACCGGTACCAGGTCCATGATTGTCCCACAACCCCGTGTATGATGGATGGAACAGTGATTACTAGTAAGCGATGAACTGACGTACATAGCACCCGCTCGGACAAACGTAACATGTTCCGTCGTATTTGATGATCTGACGATGATCTAATGATCTGACCTGGACGCCACCGTTCGATACACGTCTGCGCACATCATACTTGTGTACAACCTGATGTCGCTCAACAAGTGAAATGCTCCGTAGACAACCTTCGTCAAGGAGTTGAGTGTGCCTGGGATTCTCAGATCAAAGTCATCAAGTCTCACTAACACAGAGAAGAATGGCTCTTATCGCGATAATTAATGTCCGATCTTTACCAACGAAAAAATTCGTTTCTGATTCAGGAGGTGCTGAAGAACCATGGAGATAAGGTAAGAGCTCAATACAGCAGTTATATGCCCGTCTATGTAAACTCAGCAGTCTCTCAGCCGTGAGTAACACAAGCAAGTGATTAATGGTCATAGAGTAGTACTTTGTCTTTTGCAGGTACAAAGCGTTTGCAGAGTGGGGGCGTCTCAGACAGCTCATCCAGGGCTGACTGTGCCGACCAGTAGCTGTCAGTAAGATGAGTTTGTTCTTTTGATGCAGATCCAGAGGTTGGATCTACAGCGTGATACTACAAAATGAGGGGTTGTCGGTTGCGAATCCAGAAGTTAATGGGAAAAGATACAAGCAGTGCACAACTCCTCTCTATTACTGAATCGGTAGCATGCGGTGGGACACTCGAACTCAAAGATCAACCGGAATCGCAAGTCAGATACATGGGGCATGATACCACGGATCCCTGGATTTATGATCAGCGAGGGTAATATCACGCTAGTTCGTAGACCAGTAATCACAAAGAAAAGGTTCGTGTGGTATTCAAAAAATACTTCTGCATGTATGTTTTTGAACTACCTGAAGACGTGAAAAGTGATTATCACTCCTAAGAACTGTGGCCTGCTTCAATAAGACCTCAGAAGCCTCTTCATGCGGTCTGCAGAGGTCTATCTCCCAGTCAACCTAGCAAAGTCAGCATTTATGAGCCTGGAAAAGAGTGGTGACGGCCAAACTAATACTCTCGATGACTAAACGCTCTCCGTGAATGACCTAGGTGCTCTCTTGCGCTGTGAGTTGAGGTACGTGGACAACAAAAACTGGCTTTATATCGTAACGGGTTGCACATTCATTGGGCCCTCAAATGCAGTCTCTGTACTTGGTCTGAAGAGGTCGCCATTGGCTTTGTTTATTTCATCATAAGACCAAACCTAGGGTACGACTCGCTCACCTACTGTCCAATCACCCGAGGCGAAGCACAAAAGATCGAAAGGATCCAACACGTCGCTACCACGTTCATCCCTGATGTAGGAAGATTATCGTAGGAAGACCGGTGGATGAAACTGAGACTCTACACGTTTTTCTATCGTCGGTTGCCAGTCGATCTCAACGTGATCCACCGCATATTACATCTTGCTGACTCCCACATGCTAAGGCCGCTGTTTCACTTGAAAACGCTATGCAGCACAAGCGGACACCGGTACAAGCTTGTGGTGTCGGATATAAAGCAAGTTCTGCGCTTCCTGTACTTCGAACGAAGAGTGGTAAATGTTTGGAACAGTCAGTCTGAACAAGCTGTGGGGGCCAAATCTTTGCAGCGGTTCGAAAGATAGTAGGGTTTAAATTTCATCGCCATTCGATCCAGAGAATGATTGCACACTGATGATTACATCTTATAGTTGTGGACCCATAGATATTGGAGGTCAATCATGTTTCAATTGCTACATGAGAACTCGAAAAACAATCGGAGTATCAATAGTCCGCAGATACTTCTATAATATTTTGAACCATGTTCCGATGGTTGTACAGATTTACATCTCTAGCTGCTCCTACAACACAGTGTTCATTATTCAGTAGGGGCCGCTGCTTTGATAACTGTGCACAATATTAGTTAAAAAGAGTTAAATGAGACAGAAAGTTAATGCGGTTCGATGTCGGTGTGCCTGAAAAACCGTCTACCAGACTGGCCGATAACCAGAAGTTAGACAAACCGTTTCAAAATGCTTCTTCTAGGACGTTGTGGAGGGGACGATCCTCTCCTATCCTCCAAATTCAGCCATTATGAGAAACGCTTTCTTTTAATACGACTTAGAATGTACTGTTTCGGTTGGTTGGTGGTTGGTGTGATTGTTCGCCCAGATGAGTCATAACAGCTGATAGCGTGCCCGGGGACAGAAAAGCATGTTCTTGCATGAAGGGAGGTGATTCAGAAGCGCGACACATGTGGGTGTGTTCATGGGCCCTTGAGGTGTGGTCAGATAAATCAACAATCGCCTAGACGCAACATGTTCCTCCCCTCAGGTAGCAGAACATGGTTAAGAGTCAACTAGGTAGTTATACATATGGTTGGCAGCAATTGGGAAGTTTGAGGAGGGATTTGTACAGTTCAAACAGATTGAAGTGCGACTGTGTTCAGTATCAGGGCAACGGGTGCCCCGGAGCGTTAACAGACCGCAAGTGGGAAGTGGGTGTTCACAGTTGAGGTTAATGGTCTAGTTCTTGTGGTGAGTGTCTCGGTTACTTAGGTGACAGGTAAACTCAAGGGCCGGCGATCTAAACCAGTGCATCCACACAGCACAGGTGGAAGTTCGAAGTCGAGAAAACTGCCCAAGATTAAGCAACCTGGTCTGTTGGCCTGCTGAAATGTGATAACTAATAGCGAATCGGTAGTACGAAGGATGAATTCTATGGAAAAACAACCAAGAAATGGTGTGCGATAAAGCACACGGAGATCAGTCAAACGAAAACAATAAAAAGGAGGGAGAGAACGTCGGATGCGTCAATGCAAAAAGTGAATGGCTATAGGGAATGGAATGCAAGAGTATCATTCGTTCCATAGCTGCTCATGTCAGGCAAGAATTCCAACCATGGAACTGTCTACCATAGTGCCAATGCGAGTGAAACATTCCACTAGGCTGGTTGGAAGATCATTTGTGGAGTACTCATTGTGTGAGTGGATTGCGATACTAGATGTGTACTGTGATCCGCATTGAAGCGAACCATGGCTACTTCGATTACTAGGGGACTGTAGCCGAAGAGCATGGAAATTGGATGTTGCCCTCCCGAAAACACCGCACCACACTACGCATTTCGGCCTTATTTGATCTAACCAGGTGCAGATGGCAGGTATCGAACCCGAGACCACTGGAATGTTGGAGGAAACAACTACGCCTTTGGCTACCACGGCATGACGGACAATGCTAGACACAACGGTTGATGACTGATTGGAGGATCATTTTGAAGTACATGTTGTGTGATTGAATTAAGATGCGCAATCTCAATGTAGACGGTGATTCCCCCTGAAGTGAACCCTGGTCATTAGATCACTAAGACAGTAAATGAAGCAAGTGGAAATTGAGTGTCGCCCAAGCGAAAACACTGCACTACACTAGGCTTTTCGCGCCCCTTCGCCTGGGATTCAAGATGGCTTCCTAAGCTAGAGTTGTGAATCCTCTTAAAGTGGGGCCAAAATGCCAAGTATCCAGTAATGAGTTAGAAACCTTCAACAGGAAAAGCGAACTTACAGCTAGAGTCCTTTGAAGCTGGAGTATCCGGCGCGCTTCCGTCGGCCGTAGGAGAAGTGACAGTGTTTGAAAACCCGATATGAGATAGGGAGGGATTAGAGAGCCTATGTAGTTCGTCAGAAATCAGCGGAACATCGGCTGTGGGTTCAAAATTAAAGCACATTGCGGTTAATTCCTCGTATTGCTTCCCATCCGCAAAGCTGGGATAAGTTGTCCGAAAGTAGTCGAAAACCTCGGTCCGATTGTGCAAGCGGACACCGTTAGGGCTGCAATAGCGGAGAAAAAAAGGAAAGGCATCAGGAGCACAACGGTGCTTAGAGTCGACGCGGCGCTGCCACGTAATTACCAACAGTTGTGCACGGGTTAGGAGTACAATGTCAGGTCGCTCGCATTTAAACACAGGCTCGAACCATTTCCCTGTGGGTTACACAAGTCAGATCCTGGGCCACCGGCGGGCAGAGCCAAGATGGATGAAATTGAGCCAACGTGCCGTGCACAGGTGTTCTATAGCTAAATGGCGATCGCTGCGAAAATAGCATATAAAAGTGAATGGAGAAGGGGGAAAGAACTTCGAACAAATCCAGTCCAGTTCAATACGAGTGGGCAGCTAGTATATAATCATACAGGCCTGGAGAGTTTTGTTGCCAAAACTCGCGCCGCATGTAATGACAACAAAAGACGGAGAGGAGAAACGGTAAAGAAACTTAGGAAGAAGAGAAAAATAGTTGTTCGACCAAAAGTTTAATAACTAGAAGTAAGAAACACTGAACAACAGTGTAATGTCAAAAAGTGTGCCGGGCAATGAGGCCTCGTCCCCCGAAACGGTACGCAGCATACGACCCTGGCCAGGATGATTGTATGTACACAGCGTACAGCATGCGGATCACGTCAACTGGGGACGGTGTTGGCAAACCACACACCGAGGCGAGCAGTCTGCAGGTGTGTGAAGAAAACCTAACCGGCGTGATTAGTCCACATTTAGCAGACAGTTCAATGTGGCAAAGACCAACTGATGGATCTCAGCAAAACACACTCGGTGGCCTCACGTGTTACGACTTGTGATTTGCAAACCAACTCATACGGTTAACAGCGCGCGGTGACTAGGTCACTGATCCACACAAAATTACCAGTCACAATGCAGTGTTGTGTGTCTTGTACATGACCGACGAGTGATCTAAATAGTGAGGTTTTGATAAGCCACTCGGTGCTTTGGAGAGCATAGACGATACGGCCACTTGGCTAAACGAATCGATCGCGTTAAATTGTGGGGCATCAGTTCAGTCCTGTGACCGAAGCGCGTAGAACCTTTAAGTTGATCCACTGAGCACCAAATGCATGATAACTTACAAAGTAAGGCTATAAAGTCTAAGTGTTAAAGGCCAACATCTCTCTGGATCTAAATCTATGGGAATCTGTCATGGTATGGTGATTCATACATAACTCGTTGTCTGTGGTAGTGATCCAGAGACAAGACCTGTAGTCGCCCACATGGCTCCTGAGGCGTAGCGCCGAGACTAGAACAAGAAAGAAATTTCGACGGCACACCCTTCAAAGAAGCATAGCATCACAAATACGTGTGATATAGAAAAAGAGAATAATAATGGAACATCCGAATTCCTATATTGTGAGAATAGTTATTAAGTAGCAAGTATTAAGGCCAGTATGTGGAAAACACTCTCCTCATGGGATTCATAACCATATTGATCGACAACCCAGTCAACAAGTGCACGGCTGAGGTAAGCGCTTGCTTAACAAGTACACTTGCACGCATGAATACGCAGGTGACCGAATACGTGTCTAACAATTAGGGTACAAAACAGGCCTCCAAAGGAGGAACCAGAAAACAGAATTGAGAAGCCATCAGCGGTAACGAGCGATGTGTTGTACCTTTAGGGTGCATGTAAGTTCAAGGGTTTAATACTGAGTTAACCCACAAAAATTTCGAAGGAACAGCGGCAAGATTTGGAGCATTTGTGCCATTGGCTCCAATTAAGGAGGTGCATCCTGAGTGGTCTCAGGCCGAGGACTACACGAATCTGATGGGGCCCACATCGATGTAATATCTACTTCGCTGCTATCAGCGAATGTCTACCGTGATTCTCTGTAACATGAATAAAAGCGTGACCAAGAAGGATGTCTCGTAAACGCTGAACTGGAATGTCTGGGACATACAAGAATCGCTTTAAGCAGTATGAGGAAATATTCCGGGCGGAGAACCGATGTCTCTGTCTTGCAACCCAAAGTTCCTCGGTTTGGATCTGCGTAGGTGTGGGAGACCTCGCAGTGTTGCTAGCCCGCATGCGAATGGTGACGGTCGTGTGGCAATAAAGCGTCGGTACGAGGTGTTGGTGCACTGCTGAAACCTTTTCTGGGCAGATAAGGCTGCATTTCCATAGTAATTCCATAGGGCTGGAACTGGTTTCAGATTAACGTGTCAGTGACTGCAAACAGCCACAGGAGCAGTGCACCTATACACAGGGACTACAAGCGGCTTGTGATGCACTGGGATCGTTGATTTGAGGAGAACTAATGACTTTGCCATATGCATCGAGTCTCAGCAAATGAACAGCAAGCGTGGTAGTACAATCAGACACAGAGTATAAGAGAGATGTACTGAGAAAGATTCGTCGTAGATTGACTTAGCCACGTGTCAATTGAACCTGCACTGGATAAGAACGCCAAAGAGCGCGACAGTCAATCAACTCTGAAGATGGGCACCACGAAACGTTCGTCACGTAGCAAAGCATAATAGGAGCAATAGCTAAAGAGAGAAAGAATACGTTCAAGAGACGCAAAATTAGCAGACTGCAGGACGATTTTCCCGCACCTTTAGGCGTGAGCTGCCTTCTACAAGTAGTAGTATTAGCAAGTCTAACGAATAGACAAACAAAACAGAGACAAACAGTGGGTCCCCTTCAGCCATTTCGTCAGAGCAGTGAAAAGACATAAGTTGCGATGTCAACATTTCGATTGTTCTCATCAGTCGCAAACACAATACAAGCGGGATTCATAGACAGTTATATACAGGGGAAAATTGGCACACCAATCAAAATGTCAAAATCAAGACCACGGTAACCTAATTGATTGTCTCAATAGTTTCTGTGCACACAACACAGGTTGATAAGCACTAATTAGTAAAGCCAAAGTTATCGGATTGTTGTTGCGTAATAACACCTTGAACGCAGTCTCCGGGTTCACCTGACAGTTACATAGGCGGGACTGACCGTCAGTTAGCTGAACATATGCCGAGGTGGTTGGAACAACTGATGACGCAACAGATCGGAGTGGATCCGAGGAGGAACAGAAGTCCAGCACCATCCATCACCAAGCATCGATTGGCAACTCGATACCAGGTGAACCAGGAGACTGCGTCCAAGGTGTTATTACGCAACAACAATCCGATAAGTTTGGCAATTAGTGAGGCTTTGCTAATTAGGGCTTATCAACCTGTGTTGTGTGCACAGGAACTATTGAGACAATCAATTTGGTTACCATGGTCTTGATTTTGATATTTTGATTAGCGTGCCAATTTTTCCCCCTGTATACAACTGGCCATGAAACCCGCTTGTTTTGTGTTTGCGACTGAGGAGAACAATCGAAATGCTGACATGTCGCAATTTGTGTCTTCTTGTAGCTCTGACAAAAACAGAGACAAACAGAACCATAGCAATCACTGGAAGAAAACAGGTTTAATCACCGCACCATCATCACGGCACGCTTCAGCTAGTGCCGCAAGAAGGACGAAACGCGGTTGTTATTTTTTTCTCTCGTCATATTTTTCATTTTTTGCCCTTTTCTAGTGGTAAGCATTAAGTGTCGATCTAAACAAGTATGTATACGGAGCTTCAACTGGTTTCAATTGCGCGTCATATACTAAATTGTTGCCAACCATCAGCACTCCGTCCTTCGATGCCCCACCAAGCAGAGGTGTGTATACAACGGCACCAAGACAAAAAGCAAACGAATTCATGTTGTCGCAAGTGGATGGCTGACCACCACCTGGTCTCTTCCAGCCAAATCCTGCACGAGTGAAAAAGGTGCAATAGGGCAAACGTTAAGCTGACATACGCAAGACGTGACGGAGCCATCTTAACCGACGTAGCACAACCAGTTTGTTGTAGGGAATACTCACATTCCCAAAGACAAGACGTCTGACATCACTGCTGCCACCACACACGAGCAATCCTCCTCAAGCAGCCAATGTCAAAAAGCGAGAACCGGCGCATGTGTTCCGCGCGAACTGGCCACCCAAACGGGGGCACTGTAAATGCGACCCGATGACGCCACAAGTATTTCAGGTTGGCAAACGCCGACAGAATTTTGACGATGCGGAAACTTCCTTCTCAATAGCGTCACCAGCAAACACGAAGCTGTCCAGGTAGACAAAGTTATCCACTTGTTCAAGCTGTGTACCTTTAAGAGTGAGCAAGGGAACAGGCGATAGACAATCCTAGAGCAACATTTTCTACTTGGAAGCACATTCCGTACTTTGATGCCTCAATCGCCAAACGGTTTAGAATGGTTTGGATACTCTGTAATTCATCACCAAGTCAGGCACAATCTAAGTCGGTCGCTTGCTTGCTCTGTAGTAGCTGCAGACCAAAAGGTTCGTAACCTTCCAGTGAACTCGACATCTTCAATCGAAAAATTGAAGAGAAACAGAGATATAGGGTAGCCGTATTGTACACCGCTCTTGACAGCCGCAGATGTGGAAATACAGTGCGCGTAGGACGGCAGTGTACTTTTCTGGGACACCGTTCTTTAGCAAGCAACGCCATTGCGCAAGTCGATCAATCGAGTCGAACGCAGCATGGATGTCTAAGAAAGCAACGATGGTATGCCTTTGGTAGATGTGGCGGTGTCCCAAGATTTGGCGGAGCGTGGATATTTGATCCACACACCCACTTGCAGGAAGAAAGTCAGCTTGTTCTTCCCGGTACTGCGATTCACGAATCGGGGATAGTCTACGGAGTAGAATGGATACCATTAGTTTGGCAGCAACCGAAATGAGACTAATCCCCCCCGGTGATTAGTGCATGAAATGCGAGCACCATTCTTAAAAATCGGGACAATAACTGACTCGCTCCAAGAAGAATGCGCCTTTTCCTCATGACGGATTTTGGAAAACAAGGTTGGCTGGCTGATGATAATTGTGTCTCCATGGTTGAATAGCTCCGGGGGAAGTCCGACTGAGCCGGCAGCCTTGAATCATTTCCAGTGTTGAATCGCAAGACAAACTGCCTTCTGTTGACAGTGTAATACACTG